ATACCATTGACAAGATGAACCAGTTTGTCAACGCCATCGACCAGGCGACACTTGGTGCAATCAGCAACACCCTACGACCACACACGGACTCTACTCTGGAGGTCAGTCGGCGAGCGCATCTCCCGCTCTACTCCTGTAGTTCTAGCCAGAGAAATCCAACCTCGTGAATATACATGTAGTAGCGTGGCAGTGCTTGGGCTGTGTCACCCGGCGCTATTCTATTCATGAGGTTGGATTTGTCTGGCCAGTACCGACCGTAATATCATAATTACCGCGATGTGTGTTTGCACCTGTGGCTTGGGCAGAGCAACTGGCTTGACCTTAGCAAGATTGACTGTCAGATTATCTCGTATTCAGCATGAGATCAACGCAGAGCAGACTGTAGGAGTGTGGCTGTGTCTACACGTTCGGTAGACTAGGCTGTAACTTGTTAGATGGCGAATCCACTAGCGTGGGGAAGGTGTTATATGCCCGTGCTGCTGCTGTTTGTTGGTCGTTCATGCCGCTGAAAGTGTGTGGGTTGTTCCATGGTTGGTGACGCTATCTGCTTTCAGCACAGCTGCACAGTGTAATGGCTTTGGTTCTGTTGTTCTTGTTGTGTGTGTGGTGCGCAGGGCTTCCACAAGCAGGCACTGCAGGCACTTGGTGAGGTGTCTGATCATATCGATCCACTCAGTGTCGCGGCCAAGACGGAATCTGAGAAGCTTGGCCACCAGGTACGAAATAACCTTCAGCTCGAGCTTTCAACTGACATAAGCTCAAGGAATATTAATTTTTAGTAATTTTTTACCTGTGCCATGGTTTTATTTCTTCAGCATGGCTTCTTATGGCATACATGCGGTTGGTATTGTTAACGAAAACTGATGTATATGTGTGCATTCTTGCAGGTTGCCTCGATCTGCAATCAGTTCGGTCCGCTGATGAACGGCGTTGTGGGTGCTGCTAGTCGCACCAAGGATCACAACAAGCAGGTGGCGCTGCTCAACCAGGCCAAGACGCTGGCCGAGTCCATGCTGGAGATGCTCTATGCAGCCAAGAGGTCTGGTGGAAACCCAGAAGTAAGTATGATATGTTGGTTGGTGCAACATTCAGAAGTTCTGACTCGCATATTGTGCTTGTCAAGTTCATCAGCTCTCTCCCTTTTTGTTGTCTTCTCCGCTGCCTGTCCTCTCATGATGAGCACCTCGGCTACCTTCAGGAGAGATAGGCTCGGGGCTTCATCAACTTATAGCGGAGCCAACGTACACTGATTGTATGGAACGTTTGTATCTTGACACATACTGAACTGTCATAACTCCTGTTGTTGTTGTTGTTCCTGTTGTTCCGCAGGCCGTTGCCGCTCACGACATGGTTGACGAGACGGCACAGGGAACACGTGACGCTATCAAGGACCTGAGCGATACGCTAGAGACAGCCGCTTCAGCCAGCGGCGCTGTATCAACGTTGGTTGATAGCATTCAAAAGGCTTCAATGAAGGTGAGAAGAAAGGGCGCTTGGGTACTGTGTGGTTTTTCATGCGAGCTTTACTTGTCTCTTTGCACCGGGACATTGACAGATAAATAGCTGGTGTTGACTTTCAGGTTCTTGTAATTTTTGACTTGTGACTTTTTTCTTCTTCTATCTCAGCTGGATATAGCGTTCTTGTTTTGTAAATCGTAGCACCTTGCTCTGTTCGTACATCTCGAATAGTTTATCGATGAGATCGAGTAGATGAACGATCGTCTCTGCAAGTGTCAGCTGCTTTTTGTAGAACACAGTATTTGTCTGTATACAATTCAATGCTTGCCATGATATATCCTGGCAGACACTACTGTATGCTGGTGATGAACGTGAGTGGCGTGGGTGAGTGTATTGACTGTTCTGTGCTGTGGTGCTGTGGTTGTGGTTGTGTTCTTCAGGTCGACGAGCCACTCATGGCTGCTCCAGAGAAGTCTTATGTCGACTATCAGGGCAACATGGTGCAGACGGCACGCCGCATTGCCATGAAGAGCCAGGATGTGGTAGGTGCACGTGTGTGTGTGTGTGTGTGTGTGTGTGTGTGCGTGCGTGCGTGCGTGCGGGCATTCGGGCGTGGATGCGTGGGTGTGCGTGCGTGTGTGGGGGTGTGCGTGCGCGCATGCGTGCGTGTGTGTGTGTGGGGTGGGGGGGGGGGGGGGATGTGCGTGCGCGCATGCACGTGTGTGTGCGTGTGTGTGTGTTGGGGAGGGGGGGGGGGGGTGTGCGTGCATGCGTGCATGCGTGCGTGTCGGCTGGTGTGGGCTTACATGTACATCATTATTATTATGTGCAGTAGATGCATGTGGATTTAGACTTACACATGTTTTGGCAAGAATGGATCGTTTATATGCTGCATGATTAAATACTAGTATAATATTCCCATTCCTATCTGTGTTGTGCTTAGCTTGGCAAGGCCGGTCAGGACCCGAGCGCTATCATGCCACTGGCCCAGGATGTGGTGCAGCAGTACAGCAACCTGGCATCGGACGCACGCCACGCCGTGGCCGCTACCGACCAGCAAGACGTCGGCTTCCGCATCAAGGAGAGCGTTCAGAACCTGGGCAAGTCCACCACTGACCTGGTCCTTGGCGCTGCTGCTGTTGCCGGGAGTCCTAGTGATCCGCAGTTCAGACGCGAGCTCTCCGATGCAGCACGTGCTGTCTCAGAGAAGGTCAGTGTGTGTGTGTTTTTCTGAATGGCCCAACACACAATTATGTTATGAGGTTAACCATTACTGTGGACTTCTGTGTCTGTCTGTTCATATGCCCATGACTGTTACTGTAAAAGCAGAAATTTTCGGTGGTGTTTTATTTTTGGTAACTTCGGTGCTGACAATTTTTACCGAAAATAAAACGCACCGAAAATTTCGGTACAAACGATACTGTATACATGTAGTACTAGCACCCTTACCTGGAGAACGGGTTTTACCAAAAATTTCCCTCTACCGAACCGCCGATTTTGGAGAATACCGAAAATATTACACCACCGAAATTTCTGCTTTTACAGTATGTCCGCATGTCTGTCTGTCTGTCTGTCTGTCTGTCTGTCTGTCTGTCTGTCTGTCTGTCTGTCTCTCTGTCTGTCTGTCTCTCTGTCTCTCTGTCTCTCTGTCTCTCTGTCTCTCTGTCTCTCTGTCTGCCTGTCTCTCTGTCTGCCTGTCTCTCTGTCTGCCTGTCTCTCTGTCTGCCTGTCTCTCTGTCTGCCTGTCTCTCTGTCTGCCTGTCTCTCTGTCTGCCTGTCTTTGTGTGCGTTTGTGTGTCCCTATTATGGCGCTTTACACATCAACCTAAATGCCCTTTTCATTCTCTTTCTGTTTCCTGTGCCCACCAATGCGGCTAAACAGGTGTCGTACGTGCTGGCAGCCCTACAGGCCGGATCACGCGGAACCCAGGCCTGCATCGACGCCATGGACGAGCTTCAGGGACTCATCGGCGACCTGGACACCACGTCTATGTTTGCCGCGGCCGGCACTCTGACCTCCGAGTCGGGTTCGGGCACGGCCTTTGCAGAGCATCGGTAAGCGGCCGTACGGCCATACGCTTCATGCATTCCTGTGCCAGGGAAGCCTATTCAGCTTGGGACGTTTGGCTTGTGCCGGGCCACCATCATGCGTGATACACCACAGCTGTGCGGTAGTACAGTAAGATCGGGCGCCGAAGAACACCCAGGCTGGAAAACCGGCAAAATTTAAGAACAGTCCAGGCTAGAATTATCAGATTTAAGAACACTTTTAAAATTGGATACATTGTACATGTATGGGGGGTGAGTACATGTCATGTACACGTGTAAACAGTAACTGCTACATGTACAGTCATTCCCATTTACGACACCCACTAGTTTAGAAGTACTACATTGCACTACATGTACATGTACATGTACATGTACATGACAAACGTCATGACGTCACTCGACTCGCCGCGCGCGTGTGAATAAGAACGGTCTGGCTAGAATCAAAAATTTAAGAACTTTCCTAGGCTGCGCTCGAGCCCCTGCGTTCTTCGGCGCCCGATCTTACTGTAGACTATTATCCTTGGACATTTCATTGGATACTGCTCACTCCCATCCGCTCCCGTCTCCCGCTTTGATACGGTCGGGTTGGAAGCTGATACAATTTGTTTAGCACAAACCAAGGAAGATACTGGTATTGTGCACTGCACCTGACACAGCATGCTGAGAAATTGGATGTTTAGGCTCTGAGTGTTGCGAAATAGAGAAGGCATTCCCATTTCATGAGTGTTGCGATCGATGTTATGTGTTTGTTCAGTGATGCCATCTTGGATGAGGTGAAGCGCATGGTGAAGGACACCGAGGAGTTGGTAGGCAGTGCGGCCGGATCTCAGCTGAAGTTGGAACAGGCGGCCAAGAACGCCATGGGAACCACCAAGAGGCTGGTCGGAGCTGCCAAACTTGGAGCATCTGCGCTTGGACCAGAGGACAAGGAAGCACAGGTACGAGTACTGTTCCAGGTTGTTGCGTACTAGATTTCGTCTCTCTAGGCTGCGCTATACGCTTGCATTCGGTGTAATTTAGTGGTGTGTGTAAATGGGGAAACGCCTCTTATCTCCTCCCTCTGTGAGAGTGTGTGTCTGCAAATCCATGCTTGGGCACTCTGTGTTGTCCTCTGCATGGCTGAAAGAATCTCATCGTAATAGATACGCGAATATCATGCTGTGTCTGATACAGAAGCTTGTGCCATGGGTACAACTTAGTACTATCCTGCTCTGCCTATTCACACTCTTCGAAATGCTCACGTTGAGTTGGCTGTGTAGGATACGGTGCACAGCTGTCATCTACGTGCGGATTTCAGGTGTTTGAATAGCTTCATTCTCGCCAGATGAGTCCGGACGCATCTTGAGCTTCATGTCTATAACCAGTATTGTATGGGCTAACATCCCCGACTCCAAACTTGCTGCTGTTCTTTCTTTTCTCCGTGCAAATGTGTCTGTGCTTGGTGCTTGTTGTCCAGGTTCTAATTCTGAACGCTGTCAAGGATGTTGCTGGCGCACTGTCCGGCCTGCTCGGTGCCACGAAGAATGCGTCCGGAAAGCCGTCGTCGGCTCCCGAGATGGAGAAGCTGCGCGTAGCGGCCAAGGTGAGAGGCTTGCGATGCTTGGCAGGGCTGCCGGAAGCAGTTTTTGATTGGTCCCGTAGTATCATGGCCTTTCATACTTTTTTGGATGGTATGGCGGGGGGGGGGGGGGGGGGACACATGCCCTCCACGGTAGTACACACGTGTTGCTGGAAGTTGGTCTGGTGATAACCTGACCAGCCGGACCGGCTCCGGTGGGCCTGCAGGCTGCATGGTGACGGTGATTGTCACCTTGGGTGTAGGGGGGGGGGGGGGGGGGCACTCATACACTTCTAGTGCAGCAGATGGTTTGTTGAAGACGTGCATTTAGATCTACCGTAATTCCCCGATTATAAGTCGCACTCGATTGTAAGTCGCATCTCCATTTTCAGGTCTATGTCATATCGTTTCAATACATTCACTTCAATAGTATATCGTGCTCGATTGCAAGTTTGTTGTCCTGAAGTTCAGTGTAAAAGGGTGCGACTTATATTCGGGGGAAATACGGTACGTGTGTGTCATATACATCCTAGACTAAGCACTATAAGGTTCTAGTATCGCAGATGGTTTGCTGTAGATGTGCATTTAGTTGTCGATGTGTGTGTGCCGTATGCATACCAGGCTCTGATCCTGTGCTGTGTACTCTTGTGTTGTGTTGTTTGCCATTCCGCACCCGCGCAGCAAATGGTTGGCAACGTCACGTCGCTGCTGAAGACCATGAAGAGTGCGGAGGACGAGGCGGCGCGCGGTGCTCGCGCCATCGAGTCCGCACTGGACGCCATCAGCCTGGAAATGGCCGTAAGTAGTGCACATGGAGAGTCTTGGGGTTTGAACGCTAGGATTAGGAATCTATATCCTCATTAGCTCTACAAAATGAACACTCTTTTAACCGTGAAAAATATACTGTCTACCTAATAAATTAATAATACAACTCCTACACACATGTTGCATTGTAAACGTAGTCACCTGCATGTGGAAACATTGAAACTTTTTTTTAATTGACATAGCATACACGTTTCTTGTGCTAGTTTTTGGGCAGTGTTGAGAAGGCATGCCGTGTGGCTTTCATTTTCTCATGCATCACCGATGCTATATGCCACATATCCTGATTTTCTCAGTATAATACCGCCATGAAGGGCTGGGCAGGGTCTGTAGACCAGTCTTTCATATGTCTCCAACTTACTGGTGTTGTCCTTACTGAATCCTGCCTCCTGCACCTTGCTAATTCCCGCACAGGCCCTGACGTCGGCCGACCCACCCAAGATCCACGCTAGTCCTGAGGAGCTCATCATGGCCACCAAGGGCATCACCAGCGCCACTGGCAAGGCCGTCGCCGCCGGCAACTCGGGCAAGCAGAACGAGGCGGTCGCCGCGGCCAACATGGGTCGCAAGGCCGTCGTGGGCCTGCTGCAGGCGGTCAAGTCGACGGCGATGCAGGCCGAGACGCCACAGATCCGTGACGGCGCGCTGATGGCAGGACGCCAGTGCGGACAGGCGTACTCCGCTGTGCTTTCACACATGCTGGAGGTGAGCGACTACAGTTTAACTCTGGTTTTTTAATATAAGTCCTTGTTGTTAGAGTACATAAACCGCGTCTGGGACTGTAGTAGTGATGCTGATACTGTAGTTAGAAAATGATTACATGCGTTGGTTGCTTTTGTAAGAACACAACCTGAAACCGTGGTAGGAAATGAAGTCACACTTACAGTCAGCCGTCAGTGTGCGCTTTCATGTTCGTAGCACTTGCCAGTTATTTTCAAAACAACGATTTTATTTCTTAGTATGTAGCAATGGCACAACCAAGTCCTTTTCTGCCACCATAATGTTATGATGGCAGAAAAGGACTTGGTTGTGCCATTGCTGTGCGAGTATTGTACATACTGATGTGTGGTGTGTGTCTGCTGCACAGATGACGCAAAAGAAAGATCCCAGCATGAAGAGGAGTTTGCCTGAGCTCTCCAAGGCGGTGGCTATAGCCGTGGGCAACGTTGTGCAGTCTGCGCAATCTCTGAAGGGCTCCGACTGGGTCAACCCCGACGATCCCAACGTCATCGCCGAGAACGAGCTCCTGGCCGCTGCGGCCGCCATCGAAGCAGCCTCCAAGCAGCTGCAGCAACTCAAGCCCAGACAGAGCAAGCATGTGAGTTTTTTCTCTCTTTCTACTAATTCCGCAACCCAACAAATCATAAGGAAGACGGTACAGAGAACAACGAAGGGCCTATCAATATAGGAGTGGTGATGGGGTATGAATTGCTCGAGTAGCTGTCACGCCATCAAAACAACGATGCACACCGCTGAGCTACACTGTGTTGTTGTAGAGTCACAGAGCTGAGGATTCTAACCATCTTGTCTGTTCAGTGTTGTCGCAACAGCCATACATACGTACTGTCCGGTGATCTGACACACTTTACCAACATGATTGTCTCAACACAGTTGTAAATGGGTGGTAACGCGGATATGCGAATTTTACTTACTTTTCTTAAAACTTTAATTGTGTGTGTGTGTGTGTGTGTGTGTGTGTTCCTTGCCGTTCTTGCTGTACTGCACTGCAGGAGGCCGACGAGTCGCTGTCGTTTGACGAGCAAATCTTGGCGGCGGCCCGTGCCATCACGGCAGCCACCGGTGCCCTGGTCAAGTCCGCTACCCAAGCCCAGCGTGAGCTGGTGGCACAAGGAAGAGTAAGTCAAAACATTCTGGACATCACGGGCGCCTGAACAGACGAAAACCATCACATGCGCAAGAAATCTATTTTTGCTTAGGTCCGACTGTACATGTATACAGTCTGGACATCTCAGGAACCTGAACCGACGAAAGTTATCACGTGCACGAGCAATTCATTTTGTTTGGTGCGACTGCAGACTTGTGCTGTGTGCTCGAATATCGTTGCCAGGGTCGTGCGAGTCGGAGTGTGTGAAAGAATTGCTTGGAGTTGTTATGCCTTGTGTGCCTGCTTGCATCTCTAACTTTGACGTTAGTCGGCTGTTGCTTGTCATTCAGCAGTGCAGCTATGGGACCTTAGGCCTAGTGCTGGCTGCTTGTTCGCCATTTCCAGCTGTGCACTATGGCTCATCGAGTATTCCTCTGCCTCGGACTGCTATGTGTGTGTGCTCTTAGATATCGTCAGGCTCTGGTGGAGCACGCTATCTGCAGGACGACGACGGACAGTGGTCACAGGGATTGGTTTCTGCCGTAAGTGACAGTCACGTCACCCCGTCTAGTTTGTTTATAACAGTTACACCAGAGAGAGAGATTGGGAGCTTTTTAACAGTAACTGTTAGAAATATGGTGTATGGCGTAAACATCGAAAAGAGCTGCTTTGCTCCTGGCTGGTAGAGACGAGTGCGTATCACCAGTTGTGAGACACGCCGTGCAAACCGTCAACACGGCTATCCGGAACGTTGCATGTTCTATGACACAGTAGCTGCGGGAAGATGGTGATTGTGTGTATGCTCTGTGTGTGCCTATCTATAGCTGTTCAAGGTTGCTGCATGGTTGTATGTAGCAGTGGTGGTGGGGTTCCTGCGCATGTGCTCCTGACTGTGAAACCCCACTCACACACAACACATACTGCTCATGTGCATTGCCTCCAACCCATGGGCTATCGGGTACTATGGAATGGTAGCTCTTGACTTGCACTGTACTCAATAGTGTAAATACTGACTTGCACTGTCTGCTGTACATGTGTGTATTTTTTCCTTTGATACCGCCAGGCCAAAATGGTAGCAGAGACAACTGGTCAACTGTGTGAAGCCGCCAATGCCGTAGTGCAGGGAGGCGCCTCGCAGGAGAAGCTGGTGGCGGCCGCAATGGGTGTGTCCAAGTCCACCGCCCAGCTGCTGCTGGCATGCATGGTCAAGGCCGATCCTAACAGCGACTCGTCACGCCGACTCCAGGTGGGTCACACACACACACACACACACACACACACACACACACACACACACACACACACACACACACACACACACACACACACACACACTGACATCAGTTTAAACATTCCCCTCCTGTAGCTTACTATCACCTCGCTGGGGATAAGTATGTGAAAACATCCGTGTCTGGTCAGCCCATTGCATTGTCGGCAATTTGCACCAGTCCTCCTACATGTAGTTTTTTTTTCAAGCACGAAAAAGGCCAAAAATTAAACCCAGAACATGTGCAGACAGGACAAGTGAATAATTAGTCAGTCCATTGTTCATGATGGTCTCCGACTGTTACGTCGGCAAGCAAGCCTCCGCCACTGCCAAAGCAGCGTGGGCGCCGCAGGAGGGTGCAAATTTCAAACTAAAATTTATACGCCTACAACCGCGAATGCACATGATACATGATTTCAGAAGGCTGAAAGAAATCCTGCATCTAACAAATGCCGTAACATGAGAGTAGTTGCCTTGCTAGAACTGGCAACGTGAACACATATTCCACATTCCACTAGGATTGACTGACATTATCACCATTGTATCTGGCATTATCACCACTGTAGCAAAAAGTATCTAGCACTTCTCCTGTCAGATCACAGGTTCATTCAGTTCTATTGGCTGGTACAAGCAACCCTGAAACCCTTTGACTTTTATGTACCTCATCTTGTTCGACTCTCGCTGATTTCTGATTTTGCTCGTGTCTACTGCCCGGTGTCGTCGTCGTCTTTGTTGTGCGTGTTTACAGGAGGCTGGCAATCACGTCAAGCACGCTGCCGAGGGTCTGGTGAAGGCAGCCCAGCAGGCCGCCGACGACGAGGCGGCCAACGTCGACATCCACCGCAGCACCAAGGCCACCGGCCGCATTGCCCAGGAGCTGGAGGCGCAGGAGGCCATCCTGCGCAAGGAGCGCGAGCTGGAGGACGCGCGCAACCAGCTGATGCGCCTGCGCAAGCTCAAGTACGGCGGCAGTGGCGGAGCGTCGTAAGCGCGCTCTGCTCTGCTCTGCTCTGCTCTGCTCTCTCTCTCTGGGTGGGCATTCTGGAGCGGCCGCCGTCAGGCACTGCCACAGTCACTGCCACAGTCACCATCATCACCTCTGTTTACTGTCATGCGCACACCGCCGTCCGCAGTGATCCCCATGCTTGTGTGCCGTGCACAGACACACACTCACTCACACACACACACGCTTTTAGTAGCAGCTGACAGCGTACAGCACAGTAGCTAGTGTGAAGATTACAGCGCTGTCCCGGAGAGTACTTCGCGACGGGATGGCTGTGTCGCACTGGCGCCCCATGTACCACTGTTCTTCATTTAGGTTTTAGGTACGCTAGCTTGATTCTGTATGTGTACCCCCCCCCCCCCCCCCTTGTCCCCGTCCTCTGCCCTCCACTCACTGTATTCCTATCCCGTAATCAAATGAGAGCTCCTACACTGAGCATTGCACAGTGTGTGATTGTCGCTGCCTGGCTGGGTTCACCTACCTCCCAGTGTGTCGGTGCTTCACGGTGTAGCTTACAAAAGCAGTGAGGCCGGCCCAGTGTTCCTGCGAGCCGTTTCGGCACGTATGCTCTGAGCCTCTCGCACATCCCTAGGCCCTGCGCAACATCAGCCCTAACACAACCAAGGGCCAGAATACACATCGTCCATCAAGGCTCTGTTCCATGTCGCTGACTTTTACCCGCACACATTACTGATACTCCTTGCCTGTGTGTGCCCTATTTCTCCTCTCCTCAGTCCCTATAATAATACTTATGTACATGATGATTGTTTAGAGTCCGCTGCCCAACCTAAACACAAACTCACAAACAGATACTAAATTTTACATTTTTAGCGCCGGTCATGCTCTTTATATTAGCGTTACGATAAGTGACGTTTTCCGTGCTGTTGCTTTATCCTGCCGTGATCCAGGCCCCGCGTATCGTTCTTTCTTTCTTGCTTTCCCCACGGTTGTTTTCTTCTCGTATTCCTTTGCGTGTGCCCGATCGCCCGGGTATTCCCCCCGACCCTACGGTTCCCAGTTCCCGTCATGTCTGCTCTACTATTCAAATAATTCAGATGGTTACTTCTGCAGCAGCCCAACGCCTAGATCCTGATCTAGCGGATCGGCCATGATGCGCCGCTGCTGAACGCGCAGCGTGCTCAGTTGTGATGCAAACGTACAGTCACGTAGCGGCCATTTTTCTGTCTCTTCTCTCCCTTATATTCTTGTTCTGGAAAGGCGCTCTTTCCGGCTGCATTTCAAGTCCTCCGTTTATCAGAATTGCCATATCCTTATGTTCATCATCCTGTTGCGAGTCGCTTGCATTGGTGTGCGGTTTTCACAGGTCTACACGAGTCACTCTGTTGGTGGAATGCAAGGGTGTGTATCGGTAGATGAGATCTTCACTGCGGTTGTAGCATCCTGATACCCCAGCTAGGCTATCACCACTGATCCGATGCTGACTTCCGTTTCTGGTGTAAGGTGTGCAGCCAGTAATGCACCCCCCCCCCCCCCCCCCCCCCTGGCCCCCTGGCCTCATTAAAAAGAGAAAAGGTGGAATGTCAGAACTTTGTACAATGCCAATGCATGACTATTGTAGTTGTCTTGTGCACAGTGTATCATGGTGTGTGGTGTCATGATGCAAGGTGTCTGGGAGTAGAGTCACTGAGTGCCCCTTCCGAACTCCAGTACCGCGGTCGATGTGATTTGATCGGGCGAAGAACTGACGATTGGGAAATACAGCAGCGCTCATCGTGCATGTACACTTGGCGAAGGGAAGGCTTCGAACCCGGACTTCTGTGAATTCGTAAGACCAAGAGTAGATAAACATGTTTATCTACTCTTGGTAAGACCAATGAGCAAGACTGCTCGACAACGCTTTACGAGCCAGCGAATGAGGGTCGAGGAGAGGGGCTAGATCATATAAATTAAATAGCACTAGAAGTAACACTTGAAGGGAATGTGGCGTTTGCGGTCGCTTTGCTTTCTATCTTTCAGTGACCGTGGCAGAATTATCTTGCCGTAGATCTACGTACCAATATTGACCGTCCCGCTTTCACAAATCTGCAAATCCTATCGGAGTATTTCAGTCCGAGCGATACTACAATTTAATAGTAACACAAGTCACTAGTTACGTGACAGGAAAGTGGAATGCGAGCTCCCGCCGTTCTGTCATGTACTCTATACGTAGAGCACCTGTACTAGTGCCAGTGTGCTGTGACCGAGTGTGCAAGGACTTAGGTAGATCTACTAGGTGGCAGCCTAGCCTGTGTGGTTTCTTGCACGACCGCGCTTGTCGAAGCTGTGCAAATCCAGACGAGCGTATCTGTTGAAACACCTACCCTGGGCGCGCATTGCGGGCGATGTCCCAACCCAAGTTAACTTAATCCACTTTGTTTTGTCTCCAGTCCAAGACGCTCAATACCGAAGAAAAACCCGTCAATAATAGCAACACGAGGATACGTACAAGTAGTCATGTACATTCTTACACCAGTCTCTCTGCCAAACGTTTTTGGATCCAGACCTGCGTAGTTGAGCGTCCGAACTAGGCATTGGCGGATAATGCTGGAAAAGGTGGCAGATTCTGCTCGAAAAGCAGTGAAATTGGTAGACCATACAAACCTTATGGTGGGCAATTCCTCGAATTCTGCTCCATTTCTTTATCCACATACCAAACATGCATGAAACTTACCAGAAAAAGTACCGAATTCTGCCAATTTTTCTGCCGGCAGTATCCGCAAAGGCCTAGTCCGAACAGACTGTCCGGCGCCATCATTGTTTTTCACCCCCCGACATGTACTTCGCCACTGATCCTCACTGCTCTCTCTCTCATCATCAGTCTCATGCCTTCCAGGACGCGCCATAGCCATAGGGAGAGGGGACCACGAGCTGCTGTGGTAGGATCTACTACCGCCAGTACCGGTAGTAGTTGTGGCTGGCACACATGAAGAACTGCTCTTCGCCCAGCGGCAATCCCATCTCTTCCTTGGCGATACAATAACACAACTGTATGCTAGTGAGTCCAAAGGCGAGAAGTACAATTATCTCCTGTAGAAGACACAAGTCACACGTTTTTATTTACACACAACAGCTAGTCGCACACAAGACGCTTAAGGCGAGCAAGGGACTATCTGGGTCGTTTTTAATAATTTCTTTGACGCCACAGCACGCCATACGTGTGTTGGGTGCGCCCCTTCCTGATCTGCCGATGCAAAAGACCTCTCGCGCTAATGGGCAACTGCAGGCCCGTGCAATCCACACTGCACATCAGTAAGCGGCTCCAGAACGTTCTGAACGAGATGGGAAGAAGATAGGACAAGATCAATCACGATCAATGTCCAGGAAGGGAAGTAATTAGTTGTCAGGAACTGGAGTGGCCCATGTCCAGTCATGTAACACAGAGTCCGATTCCATTCCATGGTGTGTGTATTTGTAACCAAAGGCCAGGGAGTAGTAAAAAAGGTATTTTACGACTCCCTGCCAAAGGCACGCACATGCACAGGAGAACTAATTGCGGAACTGGTTAGCGTGCTTGGTCTATTCGGTGTATACACATGGCTTGTGTCTTGGGAATGAGGTAACGCTAATGGCCTGGATTGCTTCATAGTCCCAGTCTTGCTCTTACCTCAAGCAATAAATTGGAAAAACATGTTCATGCACCCTGACTGGAGTAGAATTATAATGTAACATTCCTTCATCACTTCATGACATGCACACACATACACGTACATGTACATGTACATGTAGACAACGTGTTTTAGAGTGACAATAGACCAATGTTCAGAAAATTGAAGATTCATATTTTTAAAGGATTCCCCAGTCTATCTAGGGAGTCTCCAGAATGTCGAATGACACAATGATTCCAGAAAAACTCCAACGCCGGAGAAAACGGCACTTCTCCTAGTCATAAACGCTGTTAAGTTCCAAGCTCCCCTGTGGCTCCAGAGTAGGTGTCTCCAGGCTCAGGTTTTGTGAAAACATCGTAGATCTTGGCTTCATGATGTATAATAATGTAGATTCACGTGCAAGTACCAGCCTCTTCGTAGACTACTCTGGAAGCTAATGTCCGCCCGTTCTGGAACGTTCCACACGGCCTCAGCCTGCCGCTATACCCTTACTCCGGCATACCGAAGCTGAACTGGAGCGTTTAGACCTCTTACAAGCTAGAGTGCATGGTTAGGCATTTTCGTAGATTTGTTGAACGTTTCCACCTAGTCTTCGAGTCCCAGAAGACCGAACAAACCGAACTGGCACGCAGGGAGTCGTACCCAACAAAACAGTTTGAGTGCCACTCCCTGCTACCGCGGTGTGCGTTTTCCATAAAGCCAGCATGAAACTGCTTACCGCCATCTCTCACTTCTATAACCTGTCTCCCCGAATTCAAACATTTCCTCTGCCAGAACTTTCGCCACTACAATCACTAGTAGAGGTCCGCTTTAGTGTAGCCCTGAGGTCGACTCACTTACTCATTTTCTACCCTTACTCTCTCCGTATTTCTGCCCCCCCCCCCTCTCTCATTCCCTTTGTCGTCCACATGTATTAAACTTCAAAGGAGGCGAAACCGCCTGTTTGTGGTGCGACGTTAAATAAACTTCTACAGCACTACACTGATGACATACCAACACCTTGACTTTCGCAATTGCTGTATCCGCTTCTTTTCTTCGCTTCCTTCGATATAACCTGGCTTTGCCCTTTCCCGAACACATGAAGTTTCTTTGAGTAGTAGGAGATCCTCTCGACAGGCCTAGGCTAGAGCCTCCGGGTAATCCAAGGAACATGGACAATTGGTTAACTTTTTAAGTACAGCAGAGAGGTGATAGAAACAGCGCAAGGAAGAAGAGCCAGGCTTCTGAAGGTTCTAGGGGAATGACCAAAGAGGGGAAGGTAGGAAGGTAGGTTTGGGCGTTCGGTCACCGATTCACCGTCACAAGTTTGTGCTGTTTGTTTTCGCAAATCTTCCCAAACTTTTCTTCGATATTTCTGAGCCACCCAGGTAGGGTTTTGTGTGCTGCTTCGAATTATAGTTAGACCGCTTTGTCAAGTACCTTACTGGTCTCATCATTGTCCCGTAACAGTCGACATTCTTTGTTCCCCTGAACTTGGCTTATACTCATGTTCGTTGCGCTTACATGTACGTTCCCCTCTGTGGTCTTTCCTGACCTACATGTAGAACCTTCCGAGTTTGAAGGCTGTTGGTTAGCGCTTCTGGCCTGGTTTCTGGACCTCTCTGGCTTGCCAGGTGTAGGCATATGCGGATAATGCCGGCAGAAACATTGGCAGAATCCGGTACATTTTCTGGTAAGTTTCATGCATGTTTGGTATGTGGATAAAGAAATGGAGCGGAATTCGAGGAATTGCCCGCCATAAGGTTTGTAAGGTTCTGCCAATTTCACTGCTTTTCGAGCAGAGTCTGCCACCTTTTCGAGCATTATCCGCACACCCCTAGCCAGGTGCCACTCCATATACAAAACAAAGAATGGCTATGATGGCATTCGCACAGAGTCTACAAGTGTGCTTTATCCAGTGACAATACATGCAGCACAAAGACGAATGAATAAGCTGAATTTCAAGTAGCATTAATTTTGCTCGTGACTTTACAATACAAGCATTATCATGATTACTAAACTAGTCTAAAGCCTCTTGTACGTACGGGCAAAAAGAAATAGATCGTGAAATCGTTTGTGATGAAAAACAACAACGCAAAGAAAAGAGCAAGCAGAACACAATGTCAATCATCCGTCGAACCAAGAGTGCATAAACAAGAGTATGCAACTGTTTATGGACTCTTGGTCGAGCCAGTAAGGTTAGTTAGAGCACATTTTTAAAAACTTCAAAAGAACACCAAGACAGCATGGACGTACATGTACATGTATAACAGCAAACCAGTTGTGCACATGACGTTACCACAGCAAGAAGGACCATCACCATGATTACTAGTATTTGTAGGGGCAGTCCGTAAATATCGAACTTTTTCACCAAACTGGCAAATTATTTTAGTTTAGACCCAACCCCTCCTTCCCTCCCCCTCGGAACGTAAACAATGTTGACATATACATGTACGTACAACAAAAGTCGTAAGTGTGTCATTGCTCCTACTGCCATTTACATGTACATGTACATGTACATGTATCAATGTTTTCGTAACCGAAATTGGTCAACCCCCGGCCCCTCACACCCCATATCGAAATTATTTCGTTTTGTGAAAAAGTTCGATCTTTATCGGTGGACGACCCCTATAGTGCCAGTACATGTATTCAGCACCATCACATCGGCAGTGTCAGCATCCATTCCTTCTCCGAACAACCACGTGCTCTACCAGTACCCGGCCACAACACCTCACGCGATGGACAGACACTGTGGTCAGTGATCGTGTGTGTGTGTGTCGACCCTGGAACACCCGCAGCGCACACGCAGCTGCACGGGACGGTCCAAGAAACAGACACACCATGTACCATATACATGTACATCGTACACACACACACACACACCATTGGACCATTGGACCATTGGAGGGACGTCCATCGCCGGAGGCGATGATAGCGATGCGACGGCAGAAGCCATAGCAGCTTGTGCTGGGATTGCACCATTCTTACACACACCACACACACACACACACACACACACACACACACACACACACACACACACACACACACACACACACACACACACACACACACACACACACACACACACACACACACACACACACACACACAGAGACACACACACACGCACGCACACACACACACACACACACACACTTGTACTTGTTGCTCACTGCCAAAACTGGTCACGTGGGCCTCCCCGGGAGAGGGGAGAGACACTCAAAAGGAATCTTGGAAAGATGACTCAATTGGCTATTGAACCGCCCAACGGCTGACACCCCCTGAAATCCCCCAAACTCTGGGTGGACTTGAAAATGATCCCACTTATGGGCTCACCACACCTCAGTAAGTGGGTGAGGACAAGGTGCAGAAAAAGGGTTGACGGCATCAGGGTATCCGTCCTGGGATCCAACTGCAGGTACCCCTGAGTGCCCCCAGTGAAGGTAATACTTGCTACTAGTGTGGGTGGCTAAATCAGAGTGGATCTGATATAAGCTTCACTAGCACCATTGATTACACAAGAGTTAATCTAGCCAGAAGCAGTCCAGGTATGTATTTCAAATAGAAAACCACACACACACACACACACACACACACACACACACACACACACCACCACCACCACCACCACCACACACACACACACACACACACACACACACACACACACACACACACACACACACACACACACACACACACACACACACACACACACACACACACACACACACACACATACCATGTACAAGGAGAGACATGTCGAGGCCACCATTGGCATTACGCACGTGGAGCAGACTACACAGTCGTCTGAGGAACAGTGAGGATTGCCTTAGCTTTGCTACATGTACATGTACATGTACGTGCATGAAATGCAGCGTTACAACAATGACCTAGCGGCTAAGCCGGTTGTCTCTGTTCTCTTCTGCATAGCTTTATGGAGCACACTACAATCATGTACATTGTAGATATCAATCCTTCGACGTTCGTTCGTCCCAGCTCGCTTCCATCTGGATGAAAATATGTCTGTAGAAGAATTCGAAGGAAAATCGCCTCGTGGCCATGGCCAGCTTCTGACATCGGGTCAAGATCAATATAGACAATAGGGCTATTTGGCAAGCGTCTGTATGGAGTGTATGGCCTGGGCGCTGCATGGAGTGTCATTGAGAAGTTCATCAAGCCGTGTTTCGTCAGCTCCGGTGCCACATCTGCACGCCAGAGCCACCGCCATTGGACGTGCCCGTGGTCTGCGGTGGGTTCAACTAAAATACTTCTTTCTTTGCGTGCCAGTGCAGCATGCAGTGAATATGGCCATAGAAGCATCTTGACAGCTCCGCTGTCAGTGAGCATGTGGATCGGAATACACACGACTCGCATTTCACAGGTTTCGTGCTTGCGAGATGTACATGAGCTTCTACTTCTAGACAATACACTCAACTACCGGTTCTTACTTACTTACTTGCAGCCTTCAGTCGAGTTTCACTTGTCTAGAATGGGCCGGGGTTGGGATAGCGCTATGACTCTTTGAGTATGAGAACCCTCGCCAGCACCAAGCTTTAGATCTGCCACACACTGCTGCTTGTCAGTTGGTTACCAAACTTACTTTACATAGACTCGTCTGTAGTCTAGCTATGGTCGCTGCACTGCCCGCCTCCTCGCGGCTACACGATATCCGGCAGCTGCGTTCTGGGCAGGGCTATACTATAGCCTATAGGCTAGTGTATTGCATTTGTACTGTTGTAGTATACTGGCTCAGTGAGGACAGGTCAGAGATTTACCATGTGGAGGATTGTCAGGATACCCTTATGAAGTTGGTTGTGTGCATGTTGGCTCAACTATCAAAGAAAAGTACTCCAGACCATAGCTCCAAATGAAAGACATGTGGAGTACACTGTAATAACTTAGAAGAGTGGCACTGAGTCTGATGCCCGTGCAAGGACTGGTGAAACATAGTGATGCTTGGTTGATCTTATGAAGTTATGATCTACCCTGATGAGTGATGTCTGATGACTCACTGAGTGAGAGACTGATGGCGATGCCGTGGTGGCGATGGCAAAGCAGGATGACCGGACGTTAACACTGACATGACACTGTGCCTGTAGTGTAGTAGGCTGTACTGGTCGAGTCACCATGGTCACGCACCCAGCCAGCGGTCCCGTACGTCCGTAGCCTCCGCTGTCTATTTCTGTACGTGTCGACGTCTGTATCCAGTTCAAGTGTGCTGTGATCTGCATACACGAACGAAGTCAGCTTCCCTCCCCAAAATATTAAACATTTTTAGACACTTTGAAGTCAACGAGTGTACTTACAAAGTTACAGTACAGTACTAGTGAGTCACTGAGTAGTAGATCAAGGTACAGGCAGAGGCAAGGACATGTAGACCAGGTAGATGGATAGATCACTAAATCTAGACTAGATCAACCGACGAGTCGACGTCTTTGGACGTGGAGTGGACATGCATGGTCGACCGCATGCCGGCCATTGTCGAAATAATTCCGGAGGCACAAACGCACTCCAGTCCTGATCCTCCACATCATGTCCACAGCTTGGACAGTCCACACATTCTCGTCCTCACAGCCTCTCACAGACTCAGTCACACCTACATTTAGCGGCCTGCTGCCTCAGTGACAGTGTCTGTACGATGTATGTAGCCTGAGTCCGCGGTGCATGTTATGACACTCGTAGATCTACTCGTAGTCTTGCTCAATGAAATCCGATCTCGTGAGTCAGCCTTGCGCCCTGCACCAGTGAACATCCCAGTGTGTTCGCACTTCGCAGGGTCTTGACCCGCTTGATCGGATTTCATTGAGCCGCACTGACAGTCTGTACGTACAATCACTACCTCTCCACGTCGCAGACACTCGCAGCTTCGCAGACACTCACGGCTTCGCAGCCTAGTCAGCTAGCGCACTGCACTGACTTCATGATCAAGTCAGTTGTGTGGTGCATACTAAGCATAGCATCCGTAGCTTTCCGCACGAACGCTGGCAGCGGTAGGTGCTGGCACTTGTCTTTTCTAGTCTGTGACAAGTCAAATCTCTCTCTCGCTGCGCGCGTGTGTAGACCACTTCGGATTTTGCAGCACAGTTGGTGGCAAGCTTTTCACTTCGCCTTGCTGCGCTGAGAGTAAGGCGACAGAAGTCACTCGGAGACGCAGAGGAGAGTTGAGACTGGAGGGAAGTTGAGACGCGGGTGTTGACGAGGCCGCGAAGCAGGAAATACCATAGTAATAGCATTGCACGCAACGAGAGTAACGAGGGTCCGCAGTTCCGAAGATTGTCCTGCAGCAGTGCAGGCTTGTCCTATTTCTTGGTGCGTGCTCCACTCTCGTGTAGTGGTGCCGACAACAAGTTGGCCACCAGCAGACGTCTCCACCGTCCAACATCGTTCGTCGGCTACTACTACGCTCCAGTTCTAGCCTACCCTGCTGATGTAGCCTGCATGACTGTAAATGTTTCACTGCCGCATCTTGCCTCGCTCATTAGCTGATGTGCGTGGAAGAATGGTGCTGGCCGCGTAGTCCGTAAAACACGCCTGCACTCGCTCGACCGGCTCACATCGCCGGCGAAGCTGCTGTTGCCTCTCCTACGCTGCTGCCGACTACGCGGTGTTGAGCAAGAAGCTGCAACATGTTGGCGTCTCTGTCCCGTTCCGTTGTGGCTGGGCTGCTGCTGCTGCTGAATGCGGCTCACCTTGGATCTAGCCAGACTGAGGCGACGGGAAAGCAAGGTTATAGCAGTTTCTTACGAGTTCGGGACCTGCCGCGTGCGTTTGGAGAGGACTTGCGTGGCGTCCCCACAAGATGCCGGCCATGGGAAAGGGTCGTTCGTAAGTACCGGCGGCAGACCCAGTCTGCCCTAACTAAACTCTCTATCTCACTCTCACTTAAAATAATAATTATGTCTTTACCGCCTACTTCAAGTACTTGAGGTAGTTGTCCGGGCGGCGCCACAAGCACAGGCACGGGCACTTGTCGTCAGCATGCTTGAAGTGCTTGTTGAAAGGTGTTGGCCTCCCTACTAGTAATAGTATCCTATACCTTCGGGCCAGTTTGGCATGGGCCATGCGACTTTTTCTGCTCGACACAAGCGCTTTCACCTAGTAGATCTACCTATTGTTGGTTGTTGAAAATGAAAATGATAAACAAAACTAGATGTTTTAGAATTGCGATCAACAGAACGAGCTGAACCGACATTTCACGAAGGCTTTATTGTATTCAAAACGAGTGGATACGAAGGCGGTGAAGAACAGGGAAGGAGAAACAAATGTGATATCGAAGAAATGAAGGAAAATAAACTACATGTACATGTACATGTACTAAGTAACTGTTATGCGCTGCATTAGGATTATCAGTAATGTATAAGTCTTTGCGCTCCAGCGACATTGGTGTTATGCGAGAGAGGAAGCAGCACGCACTTACAACTGTGACACTCACGGACCTTTTTAGCGAATGCGACTGACAGAGCCTAGAGTGCATCATTCTGCAGCATGGCGTAGAAGGTAGCGTCCGCATCACATCCTTGCTTTGTTCAGCGTCTGTTTGTCGAATCACATGCGGACAGAAGTAGAAGTAGTAGCTTGACTGCCACATCAATCCTACTATCCCAGTCAGCAGTAGTGTTAGTGTTTGTGTGTGGCATGTTTGTTCATTGAGATCATTATCACTTGTGCAGAATTGGTCGCTTATGTCTCGGTTCTGTCACTCTGTCGTGATCAGTTGGGGAGCTATCACGGCGGGAATTGTTTCGTGCCTGTGCACATGGCTGTGAACCTTCTATCAAGTAGTCCCCGTGAATCCAGTCTCCCGACAAGTGCCATGCCCAACATAAATTTCCCTTCATTTTTGGAACTCTGTTGGCGTCAAGTAGTTAGTTCAACCCGATAAACAACCTGCGTGAAATAAGTACCAGTATGGTTTGTTTTGTCATGCAGTGGGTATCATGCACTGAAGAAAATGACTTCCACCACTGGCAAGTCAGGTCCAAAAGTACAGTATTAGTTGGTTCTTGCGGGAAAGTTACATGTACCGTAAAGTACCGCCAGAGCGCCCCACCATCTCGTCCTTTCGTGGCCGCCTTGTGGAGGTGGATTTCTGTCTGTAGGTCATACGACACGGACCTTGTACAAACATTGCACATTGTGCAGTCAATCCGTACCCAGTTTACCTTCGAGCTCCACATAAAAGCATACCAAGTGTGACCTTAGTACACGAAGGTTCTCACATCGTACAAACTTAGTAGCATTCTGCCATACGATTTTCTTTCCTTGGCTGTAAAATCAAGGTGGGGCGCTCTCGCGAGACGGGGCGCTCTGGCGGTACTTTACGGTAATAGGAGGGTGAGCACTAAGTAACCTTGATGGAAGGAGGGTAGCTGATTCAGGCCCAGTGGAACCTGTGCGTTTGGTCAGGTCAAGGCCGGACCAACTGTTTGGCTACCAACGTGTGTTTACTGCTGAGGAGGTCCTGTGACCATATGCATAATAAATGTTTGTGCATGATAAACGTATTGGAAAGTTAGTTTTGGGTATGGCGGGACCAATCAAAAACTGCATTTGCTGGTCCTGTGATTGATTCATGTACTTTATAGGAGTACAGTATCAACCTAGAGTAGAGTCACTTATCTTGGCACACTACCTCCATACACTGTGTCCCCACCTAGCCGGAAAGAAACCTGCTCCCTCTAACCTGCTCAGTAATCTGATCCTGATACTAGTGATAGTAGATTACTTACAGTAGATACAGTAGATACATGTTACTTGATCACTCCATCAGTTTTATCACGGTGTATTGTGCTTTGGACCGAGCAGTGGACAGGGCCTAGGGGCAAAGGAATGATGAGTAGCCTTGTCTAACACTAAGATCATGTTACTCCATCTCCATCAGTCTTATCATGGTGTGTTGTACTTTGGACCGAAGCAGTGGACAGGGCCTAGGGGCATACTCAGCATAGATCTAAGCAACTTACTAGGGCAGGAATGCTGCAGACAGTGCATGTACTACCAGGCGCACAAGAACAGGAGGGACCAGTGGCTAGGTCTAGGCTGGGATCAGTGGGATGCCAGTTCCTATCTTTTCAACACTACAGTGGACAGGGCCTAGGGGCAAAGGAATGATGAATACTCAGCGTAGATCTAAGCAACTAGGGCAGGATTGCTGCAGACAGTGCATGTACATGTACTACCGGGCGCACAAGAACAGGAGGGATCAGTGGCTAGGTCTAGGCTGGGATGCCAGTTCCTATCTTTTCAACACCACCGTTCAAATTATGCTATGTAACTATAGACTAGTATAGTTGAGCCAGGGGTGTACCTATTGCTTGTATTGATACATGGACTGGTAGTAGCCTGTTCGATATTCCATGTGGCTTCAACGCCCCCAGTGCCAGCATACTGAGCTACTGGTATTGATTCATGGTTCCAGGCTGAGCTGAATGTCTGGAATCTATTTCTGATACAAGTGCACTGATACTGTAAATAGTAGTGTTGAAACGAATAATCGAATAATCGAATAATTTAGAATATTCGTGGGGTGAACGAATAATCGAATAGTCGTAGGAATTATCAGAAATCGAAAAAAAAAAGAAAAAAAAAAGATCTATACTCAGTGCTGACCCTACTGATATTTGCACTGCGTAGATTTGCTCGCAGTATTTCTTCTCAATCTCTTCTCCTCTAAGTTTTAATCACCTATCGGTATCTAGTAATACTTCTGTTCTTTCCATACGAGGGAAACATGGTATGCAGTGAAGATCCAATTACGCTCGACCAAGACCCTATGCGATATGCAGAGCCGGATCAGGCGTTGCACACTCTGGGGGGGGGGGGGGTTATGTACTCTTGGCGGTACATGTTAACCGGTTTTGCACCTCCACATAACAAAACCCGATAATCAGCAAAAAAAATATAAAAGAACTACTTAAAGGGGAACTCCACGAAAAAATGAAACTTTGATAGCCTGTAGAGTTTCGGGCGCTGAGTCGAATGGTCTTGGTCCGAAGTCTCTACGACGAAGCGTTCTTGAGATATTTCACTTTGAAATTGCAAAAACGGGGGCCGCGCCCTGACGTCATGCGGCCATTTGGTTACATCATCACGGGCTGCCTACGTCATTGTGGCAAAGTCGTTTCTCTTTGCCAGTCTACAAGCACTAATTTTAGTTGGTATTTCAAGGGAAGATGGGCGATTCCGAACAATCCTCTGTCCCCAGCAATGAAGGCAGCGATGCTGAGGCCAGTGAGGACGACCAACAGCCCACCGCCGCGTATGGTTGGGGCAGGGAGCCCACATACTCTGCTGAGGAGCTGCCATCGCGTGTAACAAATGTGGAGGAAGAAGATGCGTCAGCAGCTGCGTCCGTCGGACAGAAGACGAGTAGCTTGGCCACCAGAATCTCGATTCGTTTGGGACTCCGACTGGTGCGAGCGTGGACAAAAGTGTATAGCCATGCCCAGCCCGCGGGAATGATTTTGCTGGTAGGATGCTGCCGTCGCTGTCGACAAGACGGCCCAAGGTTTCTTGCGTAGCGGACCTCGCAGATTACGAGATCGTATCCTTGCATTAGGCTGTGCTCATCACTGCTCTTCGAGGTTATCTCGACATGCAGAAGCCGCCAATGCCAGTGACAGAAGAGTCTGACATTAGGTAAGCCTCAATTTAATAGTTTGCCTTGACTTGTCTTGTGAGGATCGCGTATCAGCATGATACACTTATTCTTATTTTTTGGGGGAAATTTATTGTTGTCAGGCGCACTACAGTAGGCGTCGCACAAGAAAGACATTGTACTGGTAGTTATCACAAGTTTCATGCATGACACAAACAAATTTCTCTTTGCTCCGAGTATGTCTTGACTTATCTTGTGAGGATCGATGCGCGTAATGTTTTGTGTGTAACTAATTATTGTTGTCAGGCATAGCACGAACAACGTTGTTCTGTACTATAGACCGTGCTATCACAAGTTTTCATGCATGACTCACATTTGTCTTTGTCATTTTCCCTTGGATTGGTACAAGATCTACAAAGTATGGTAGGTAGTGTTCTGTTGGTGAAGAGAGCACTGCACACAGTTTATGAGCACCATGGGTGCATTAATTTTGATCACACCCGAACCCATACTTTATCGTTTCAAGCGATAGACTTTGTCAATAAACTCGTTTTCTAGTATACCATGGCATGCAACGTACAAGCGTGGGGTCAAGAAAGCGTACACCAAAATAATGCACAAATTCTGGCAGGAGAGTAAGAAATCTGTACTTTCTGACCAAGACATCTCTGTACTAGTAGGTAATCGAACGCGTCCTAATCAGTATTCATCCCCCAGATCATTGGAATTCAATTTGAAATCAGCAATTATGGTAAATTCTACAAGACCCTCCATCTTTGTACCAGTGGACACTAAATTAGGATGGCGCGCGCACTGAAAGTGCAGGTAGGTACCGGTAGGTGCAATACAGCGCATATGTAGAGTAAATGAGTATTTGACTATAATAATTATTACGGTACAGCAATGTGGTATGTGTACAAGCACTCATCATACACATTCCATATGACATTCTGTGTTTGTGTAGATCTCTACGCTATGCGGCACACAGGCAGTACACACTATGTACACGGCAAATTGGGCAAGCACGTTCGTTGTCGTCTTCCAGCCTGCGTTGTGAATACCATCAGGCAAAGATATCCAAATCCTGCACCACCTCAGCCTTCTCAGGAGGCTTCCACCTGGAATTTGGCAGGGAAACACGCTTCTCCAAGGCAGGAACATGGAGGTTGCCATTTGCAACCGCTACCACCTCACACATGAGCTTGTCAACATACTCATAGCTCTTTCTGTCGTATAATTTTCTATTTGGCCACAGTCTTCTTTATGCTTTGAGAACTGGACTTTATACCTTCCTATCGCGGTCTTTTTGGTTGTGCTGTGGCGACGGTTGACATTGACGTCGTCAAGAGCTGCGAGATGTGCGTGTCCAATCATCCCCAGAATTGAGAAACGAATGCGTTTGAGAATGTAGTTTGGCATGACACTGTGATATACCTGCATGGCAAAAAGAATGTGGAGAAAACACACTTGCTTAGACAATATACTGCTGTATGAGAAAATGGAAACTTCACCGTACAGGACGACTCTTGTTCTCAATTGCATTGTTCGTTTCATTCCCTGTGTTGCCCATAAGAGACGGGAGCAAAAATGTTGCAGCAGATGTTTGTTGTCTTCTGGCGTGGAGTGGCGGCGTCATTAGATGTACACATAGTCATTTCACTAAGTATACCACTACTACAGCATATGTACTATCCTTAGGCTAGCGTGCGTGCGAGTGAGTTTGAGTATGTGGGTGCGTATGTGTGTGTGTTGTTGTGTTTGTGTGTGTGCACGCACACGCACGCGCGCGCATGTGGGTGATGGTGTGAGTGCATGTGTATAATATGTGTAGTTCCCACTGTATTCCTTGCACAATAGGTCTTCACTTACTTTTCTTTCGCATACAACCAGAACCCATTCCTTGTTCGAAATTAGATTTTTTTGGCCTGGTGATCCCGCAAGCGTGGAACTCGGAGTGTAATATATTTTTGTTTCACTTTACTTGCACTATTCCAAGGCTGTCCAGACTTCTAACAACTGCTCTGAGTGATATGGTATTCATGCAACCATGCCTAGAAGTAGGGTAGCTGTTATAAATAGAGACATATCCACGCAATCAACTTACACTGGTTCAGTTTGGCAGGATTGGTGAGACAGTTCGTCGTGCATGCTGCCTGCACATCGCAAGCAAACAGTTCTGTAACCTTCGTACTTGCTGGGGGTCTGTCTGTTTGCGTCCCAGTTGATGACAGATGTGCACAGTTTGAGTACTGGTATGCGCAAAGTTACTGGGGTAATATCGTTCATCAGCTAGCTGCAGTCGGAGTTGATGGGGTGATGTACTCTTCTGATCCTGATGGGACGTATCTCGCCCTGCTTTCTCAGTTGCAGCTTGTTGAGTTCGCTTTGCTGGAGGCTCACGGTTCGGAGGGCACTGGTACACTGATTAGGGCTTTCCTGGACGGCGTACTCGTCAAAACTCAGCTCTCAAGTCCCTCTGGATCATAAATGCAGCGAGCAAACATAGCTCGTGCTGCGAAAATAGGCTTGAAATTTTCACGACGCATTGCAACATCTCGGCGCTTTGCCAGGTCTCCATCCTTTGGGAATTTGAGAAAACTAACCCCAGGAGGATGATGTGATACTGGCACAATCAACAACACAACAATTTGGCATTGCAGCGGCTCAGGCGACTTGGCAAACTACTTTCTGAAGTGACTTTCGTCCTGAAGAAAGTGAGATTCAAAATCCAAGTATTTTCGCACATTGCCACAATGACGTCACACATACATTGGTATGGGGCGTGGCTAAAATTGAAATATCTCAAGAACGCTTTCTCGTAGAGACTTCGGACCAAGACCATTCGACTCAGCGCCCGAAACTCTACAGGCTATCAAATTTTCATTTTTTCGTGGAGTTCCCCTTTAAAAAGTGCTGAAAAAGTGTTGAAAAATGCCATCATGCGTACGATAGAATATAGATTATTCGTTCGATGGAGGGCGAAATTATTCGATAGATTATTCGTTCGAAGAATCCGTGTTCGGTTTAAACACTAGTAAATAGTTTGTATGCTATTTTTAATTATGCGTTTTAATGTCTTTCATACATTCCACGCGCTGAAAGTTTCGTACGAAATGAAATGCATATGAAATTACCAGCGTCAATCGTACTAATACAGGGTGCTCTCTCTCTCTCTTCTCGCTCTCTCTCTCTCTCTCTCTCTCTCTCTCTCTCTCTCTCTCTCTCTCTCTCTCTCTCTCTCTCTCGCTTGCTCGCTCGCTCTGTATAAATATGTTGCGATGAAGTTTCCGAGGTCCTAAGAAATGAAGGAACCTCACCAAATTTGGCACGGAGTGGTTGTATTCCTTCTCTCTGTTGGTACCAGAGATCTGGAAAGACTCATTGCGAGTCCCAGCATTGGATCCCAGTGTATCATTGCAAGTCCCAGCATTGGATCCCAGTGTATCATTGCGAGTCCCAGCATTGGATCCCAGTGTATCATTGCGAGTCCCAGCATTAGATCCCAGTGTATGATACAGTATACTTGGTATAATGAGTACCGGGCGAGCTTTGATGTAGCCGGCGTGCAGCGATTCTTTCATTTCCGCACCACACAATGCTCCGATTTCCTGGATGTCAGTGAAACGAGCCTTGATGAGGCGGCCCTGTGCTTAAGCACAGCCGTGCAGTTTGTATCGTCCGTTCCCGCCTGTGGTGCATTGAGGGCACTACACTGAACCACTCATGGGGACCGTGCAAGACGTAGTGTATAAGCATGCAGACTGCACAGTTACCTGGCCAGTAGAGATTTCGTCAAACGTTACCAGGACTGCCTCGGGGGAGGAAGGGATGATGGCCATGTGCTTCGGCACTCGCACTGATCCTGGTCGAAAACACATCATTTCCAGCATGCCTGAGCAATGTAAAATAGTCTCTGTGCACTTCAGTCCTATGGATGGGCGTGCACGGCTTCAATTTCTAGTCGCAGCGTGGCAGCTGCAAAGCGAACATGCTAATCACCTGGGTGCTAATTGATGACACTTCACACATGCATTGATGTGTCAAGACCTGAGAACCCCTGATGCTGTTGGCATCTCATGGTCCTGCTTGCTGGCGTTGTGTGGGCCTTGGCAGTGGCGACTGGCTTCTTCTTGATGTTTTTTTTGGGCGTAATGCAGGTAGGAAGTTGTTTGAATAATTTTTGGAACTTGAACCGCAATAGCTGGTGTTTAATTTTAGATGACTGTGAATATCTCGGTGCTGATGTGCCATTGCTGTGTGTGTGTGTGTGTGTGTGTGTGTGTGTGTGTGTGTGTGCGCGTGTGTGTGCGCGTGTGTGTGCGCGTGTGTGTGTATGTATGTGTGTGTACATGCGCTCATGCACATACGTGTTTAAAAACTGTGCCTTCTGCAGCACCCGAAGACATGCACCATGGCTTTCTGCGTGCATCGCCGGTCATTGTACGGGGCCCGCAGAGCTCGGTGGTGATTACGGATTACCACCCGGAAATACGACTACCGTGCGAATACGCCAATGCTAATGGCACCGTGGAGTGGCAGTTCAAGCCATCAGGTCTCGCACTAGCTGTTGATCTTGCAGAGTGGAGCAACGTTGAGTATGTTGTGGAGTCACGCTGGGCTCGGGAGGGAAACAGTCTGGTCTACAAGCAGTCGGTGGATTTCCTTCCTGAGTTGGAGGGCTACTACCGCTGCAAGGTCAGGGTCGAGCCAGTTGGCTCGGTCATCAGTAACGAGGCGCACATCCGTCTTTCAGGTAGGTGGATTCTGCGTTTTGACCATGGCATGGCGCCTGCATGTGAGCGACTCACTGCCCTGGGCTGCGTACTTGTAGCTACTGGCTATCACTGCGGCTGTTGCGGTGGCTGTTGTGGCAGATTCTCGTGCTGCTTGCTTCGCCTTGGGCGACTGTTAATCATCAGCATCACGTGCATGGTCGCCAGTCACATCACCAGCAGTTCGCCTGTTCATGCCAATAGTTGGCGCCTGTTCAAGTAACTTCCTGGGCAGCTTGCTTGCTACACAGCTGCGCACTGCAATGAGTACGCCTGTTGTACTGAGGCAGTACGTTCTAGTGAAAACCAATGAGAGCTTTAGCTGTTAACATCATTGCATTGAGTCCGTTTGCCATGCATACTATGCCTACAGGCCATCATTTTCTTTTGAACTTCCAACACCGTGCTTTTAAAGTGTTCTTACCACACCATTGCCGGCGGCACCCTTGGCTCTCTGTGATGCTAACATGAGTGCATGGGAGTATTGGAGAATGCACTGTTGGTCTGCTGTGTTGCGCAGTGGTAGTACATGTACCATAGCCAATGAGGTCCAACCGAGGCGTGGTTATTGCTAATTCAAGTAGTTGAAAACTTTTCCCGAAAATAATGTGTCCGTAATGGCTTATTCGGCATGTATATCTTGCCCCGTCACCTTATTGCCCGCATACAACACAGTATGTACTTGCCCATTGCATGTGTGTGTGTTTGTGTGTGTGTGTATATGTGCTTGCAGACCTCAGCGGCCGCACAGGCGAGCATGGCTCGGTCAGTGGTGTCAGGGCAGTGCATCTGACACCTGGCTCAAGCCTGCTCCTACCCTGCTCTGATGTGGGAAACGATTGGTCTAGCTACGAGCGCGTGACGTGGCGTGTGAACAACGTTGTAATTGCTCAGCAGCGCAGCGAGTTAACAGCGGCCAATAGCACTTCGGCCGGCAGCATGCTCTTGGACAATGGAGCACTTTATCTGTGGGACATTCCGGAATCCATGAACGGCAGCACGCTGCAGTGCTGTGTTGCTTCGGCTGTGCTTGAGAATGCTGCGTGCTCGGGACGCACTCTGCTGCTAATTGGCAATAACGGTGAGTTCCCTCCCACTGCGTAGTGGGTTGTGAGGCGCACTGGATGTTGTCGTATGTGAATTCAGCAAAGTGTCTTCTCGTGCTTCGTTTGTGAATGTATTTTGTATTTGCATTTATGGATTCTCCACAGGCCTTAGCCTAAATCGAGGGAGTCTCCGTATGTGTGCATGCATGTGTGTGTTTGTGTGTGTGTGTGTGTGTGTGTTTGTGTGTGTGTGTTTGTGTGTGTATGTATGTGTGTATGTACAGCTAAAAAGGTGGCACCAGCTTCAGTGCGTGCATGGACAGCTTCGAGCACATCCGCCACTGGCGGCCGCATAGTGCTGGTGTGCGATGCATCCAACTTCGACTCGAGAATCACTGACGTTTCCTGGACACGCAACGGCTACGGCGTCAGTAGTGAGCTGCCGTTGGTAACGACCAGTGATGTCAGTTGTGACCAAGCGGACATGCCGAAGTCATCATCGTGGCCGGTGCTTGCTGCCGCCTCGAGAGTTCTCGTACTGTGTCGCACCGACGAGGACTCTCAGGGAACATACAGCTGCGCCGTGACGACTGCTTCACAGGTGAAGGCTACGTCGAATGACGTGCCTATTGTCGTGCAAGGTGAGTATAGCCTGCGAGGCTACAGGATGTAACGTAGGAAGTCTGGCCAGTTGGACACATCACATGTAGCAGTTACTGCACTCACATTGCAGCACGGACTACCATGTTTTCCCCGGTTATAAGTTTGATCTTTGCAGGGTGGTGGCGTTTCTACGGATGCTGAAAACTCACTGTAATTGAGTCTCAAGCGAAATGTGGAATTTTCTTAAGTAAACGCTTTCTGACCTGAAAACCGAAATTGGGTAGTCGACTTACAACCGGGGTTTAACCGTTATTGATCATATTGATAGCGAACCGTTAAATTGAGGCCCTAAGTAGTGGGGTCAACTAAAAGCAGGTAGCACATGGTATGTTAAAATTCCAACCAGTTGCGAAGCTATGTGCAAGGCAGAGCGGTCTGCCTCGTGAAGACCTGCGAGAGGCAAGACCACAGACGCAAATCGTGTTGCCCATGCCCATATGTCACTTAAACTAGACACCTCTCTCTCTCTCTCTCTCTCTCTCTCTCTCTCTCTCTCTCTCTCTCTCTCTCTCTCTCCGTGTTTCTTCTCTTGTCCAGATCCACCGCATCGAGTTGGTCTGGGCGCAACGGAAGTTTTAGAACTGCCTACGCTCTTGCCAACCGATGCTGTGCAGCTGAACTGCAGTCAGCATGTCAGCGTGCCGAGCGGCCCTGCTACCACGCATGTTGTCTGGTACTACAACGGCGAGAAGTTCAAGCACGGTCAAGGAGCGCATGCGTACACGCTGCACGTCAATGCGTCCTACCCTGGACTCTTCCAGTGCACGGTTCAGAATGTCCAGGGACGAGCTGAGGTGATGTATCGCGTTCGGGTTTCAGGTAGGCTGAAACGGTCAGCGGCAGCAGATCAGTGCTAGCTGATCTCTTTGCCTGAGTGCACATACATGATAAACACATATGGAAATAGTGCACGTGTGCTTGCTTCCCTGCCCGCCTGCCTACCTGCATCGAGTGTGTGTGTGTGTGTGTGTGTGTGTGTGTGTGTGTGTGTGTGTGTGTGTGTGTGTGTGTGTGTGTGTGTGTGTGTGTGTGTGTGTGTGTGTGTGCCCCCACTTACTGAGGTGTGGTGAGCCCATAAGTGGGATCATTTCAAGTTCACCCTAGTTTGGGGATTTCAGGGGGTGTCGGCCATTGGGCGGTTCAATGGCCAATTGAGTCATCTTTCCAAGATTCCTTTTGAGTCTCTCTCCCCTCTCCCGGGGAGACCCACGTGACCAGTTTTGGCAGTGAGCAAGTACAAGTACAAGTGTGTGTGTGTGTGTGTGTGTGTGTGTGTGTGTGTGTGTGTGTGTGTGTGCGTCTGTGTGTTTGCACTTTGCACGTTGCAGCACACATGCATTTGGGATGTTTGTATTGTATTCGATGTATTCTATAGTGCACTCCCAGTTCATGTGTTCCTCGATCATTCTCTTGCACTGCTCTCTGTGTTTTGCCACTTCAAAGTACGTTGTACACCTTCCCTACACATGCAGCGGGCCTGCTGGGAGCAACGTTTTGATGTGTCCGACGGTACCATAGCCGTTCATGCTTTGTGTGTGCCATAGTGGGTAAAATATAACCTCGCCAGCAGTGAACATGCATTACTGGCCACCCAGCCGGTCCGGTGATAACCCGACCAAGCGACCGGTTCCGGCGGGTGTGTGTAGGGAGGTCAGCTAATGCTGTCGACTCTTCATGTATATCTCCCGTGTGTTCGCCAGGAGAGCCATCAAGAGTTGAAATGACGCCCTGCGTGGATGTCAATGTCGTGTGCTTCCGGCCACCTGAAAGCTTTGAGAGGCCGATCACACGCTACGTCGTCGGCCAGCGCAATGGCCGGTATCCGAGGTACAAGGTCTTCTGGCACTACGACGTAACTCGGGTCGACCACCGCGGCATTGTTGCCGAGCTGTGTCAGACGGACTGGAGGTCTTGGCGCGTGTGCAACGTCCTGGTGACGGCGTGCAGTGAGCTGGGCTGCAGCGCTCCTAGTTGCTTTTCAGCCAGTGAGTTGCAGCAGCTCTACGCAGCTGCTGGCTGCCATGCATGTACATGTACTTGTAGTCAGGGACTCAAAGCGATATACTAGCATGCCTGCCGCCACACCTGCTCACTGCATATTGAGTGAGTCTTGAATGCGCACTCCAACAGCCTTCCAGCGTGGACTCAGGTTCTAAGTTATAACGGTAACGTAGGAGGACCTTCCAAGCCGGAAGGCTGTTGGAGGGCGCATCCCAGATATGCTAGAGCTGATTGGCAGTTAGTTTTAGACCGTCAGCACCGTTGGTCAGTGTCGTGCAATGCTATCGCATGAGATGATTGTCAAGTATCTGGTGGTGTTAGTGGATATTATAGCGTAACTTGAAGTTCATTGGTCCTTTTTTTCTCCCTATAAACCCTTTGGCTCTGCATTCGAGTCTGATAGTTGCAGGGAGATATTATATGGTTTTGAGCCCAGTTTAACCCTTTGGAGCTCATCGTTCGAATTCGAACGATGCCAATGTCATGTGTGCAAGTGCACTCAACGAGTCACAACTCAGTCAAATCTCAACCGAATTCAACAATCGAAATACCTACGAGGTAGCAGAAAATCTAAGCTGTCGGCTCGAAAAACTCCGGGGTCGATACGAGCTAGTATAACAGAGCGGCGAGTGCTCGAAAGTTCGCTCGATTTCTCATGCGTCAGCGAAGTGCAAATTTCGTTCAAAAGTGGGATTTTCCCTCTTCCTGCCCACGCAGCGTGTGACATCACTCCCAGCGCTTTTTGTCCCGGCTTTTGTGAGCCTGTTAGAAAAAATTTGAATGATTTTGAGCTAGCACGAGTGAAATGGCGAGACAAGGACTATTCCCGTTTTGGATTTGGTATTCAGCTGGCGTTCCTGGCATTCGGTAGCAGACAGCAATCGCTCTCCTGGATGAGTTTGGGCTCGCTGTTATCCTCGTTCCAAGAGCTTTCCAACGAGCCCAAGATCGTCAGAATCGGTGAAGTAGAACCAGCGTTATGATGGAAATTGGAACGAATATACTTGCAATTGCAGCTATCTCCTGACGTCGTGTGATCAGTGCAGTTCCAAAGGGTTAACCTAAATTTGGCTTGAAAAAGGTCCAGAGCTCAATTCTTTCTGAACAGCACGCACAACCTCAGTCCTTGGCGGCCAAGTTTTGCTCTCGCTCGTGATGGTGATGAGTATGTGGCAGGAGATCGTGCTGATCGGCAGTGTGATGTGTTTGTTTGCTCTGTGCCTTAGCTTTACCAGGACCACCACCACCACTGGGATTCAGCGCGCCCCGGATGGTGGCGAGGAATGAATCGGTCGTCGACTTCCACGCAAGTGTTCATTCCGGCCATCATTTCATCTGCAACGCCCTGTTCCGACTGCAGCACCCCAATGGTTCATTTGTCGAGCTAGCCTCGCAGGTTGGTTTTCACGGTTCTGCGGTCAAATCCCATCCCCTGTAATGCATGGTGCAAGCAGAATGCCAGTCTTTTTCCACACTGCATGCGGCCAAAGTTTTGTTTTTTGTTTGAATCGTGGCTATGAACAATAGTACATTGTTCATAAGTCGGCGAGGAGACACAAATCCTACAGAAATAATGTGTACGCACTCATACCACGACACTAGAGGAACAATAAGTACGGACTTTAAAACGTCGTTTCCAAGTGACAATCATCAGAAATCTTCGTCACACTGAGAGTTGGGCTAGTACAAAGGAAATATGATATGGTAACCGCATAAAGCGAATAGCATTGGATCTAGAACTACCACGAGAAACACTGAAATCCTAAAATAGCACTATTGAAAGCGTGATTAGTAAGCGGCGAGCAGTCTTAATAAAGCATGTGTGGAGTGGAGAGGTGCAGGTGAGAATGCTCTGGATGTGAGTATGGGGGTAATTACTAATTATGGTATGTGTGAGTGTGAGTTCAGCATTCACACTCACACATACCATACTCACGTCCAGAGCATTCTCACCTGCACCTCTCCACTCCACACATGCTTTCACACTGCTCGCCTTACTAATCACGCTTTCAATAGTGCTAGTTTTTTTTTAAAGGATTTGAGTGTTTCTCATGGTAGTTCTAGATCCAATGCTATTCGCTTTACGGCCATGTAATATTTCCTCTGTACTAGTCCAACTCTCAATGTGACAACGATTTCTGATGACTGTCACTTGAAAACGACATTAAAATCCCTACGTATTGTTCATCTGGTGTGGTGGTACGAGTGCGTACACATTATTTCTATCAATTGTACATAGTTCCTAGGCATTTCTAGATTAGGATAATGATCTTATCGAGGTCTACCAGCCGATTGATAACAGGCAATGGATGAAACATGGCGCACTCTAATCTTGTTGCGTACACAGCAATCCATGGAAGCATCCACCTAACGTACAGCACAGTTTTAGTGTTTATGTACTCGGACTAATCTTCTACCACTTCTACATTGTGATACATATGTCTACATTCTCAATTGCTGTTGCTGCTGCTGCTGCTGTCGCTGTCGTTGTTGTTGTTGTGGTGGTATCGCTGCTGCTGCTGCTGTTGTGGTGATGTGTAGAAACTTTGCCATGGCACGCAAAGCGATGGTGGGGCGAAGGGACAGCAGCTGAAGCAGTCGTTTAGCAGTTTGGAGTCGTGCATTTCGTACAGAGGCTGTGTGACGGCCAACCTTTCTGCGTACCACGCCGGCCTGGACATCAGCGATATAGGTAGTCTGCACTGTAAGCGCACCAGCCACTCGGACGAGCCCGCCGCCAACTGGGTGACTGTCACTACACCTCGATCTGTAGGTAAGCTACACCATCGACTTCCTCCTCTTTACCTTGCACCACTGCTCAGCAGGGGTGGGGGGGGGGGGGGGGGGGGCAGACTACAGCAACCAACTGGAGCTGGGCCAGAAGCCACCGGCTTTTGAGAACGGCACAGTAGTTCTTGGAATGAACTTCGATTTGCAAGTAAGGTGGAACAGAATTCTATTTACGCTTGCACTCTCATCTGGCAGAAATTATTCCAGTATGAAACAGGGAGTGGGGTTTTGTTACACGCACAGGAAAGTAACGTTTATAGTCTTTCCAAAAAGGTACTTGTTGTGCTGCTTCCTCACTGGCAGTGACTTGCGTTGCCTGCATGGCTGCAGAGCCGACTGAAAAAAATGGTGGGTACAAGGACCGGGCGGCATTGGATAGCTGTAGTGGATGCCATGCAGGCTGTGGATGCACGCCAAGCGCCATGTGCGTACAGTGCTGCTGGAGTGGAAAGCGATGCGGAATTCATCAGATGGGCTTCTGAGCTCTTAAAATATACCAGAACCTGCTGCAAATCAACAGGCTAATCCTAGGGAAAATTACTGTATAGCAGGAAATTTTCGGACGGGGATGTTTTCGGACAAAGCCGAATTTCAACCTTTCGTATGGATTATATTTTTGTACAGTGCTGCATGCTAAATGCACGTGTTCGCAAGCAGTACGCGCTTGCCAAGGCACGTATATATGTAGTTTTCAAGCAGCATTTTGATGTACATCGGGTATAGTGTACATAATTTCACATGAACAAATTTTAGTACGGAATTAATTTTAGTACAAAAGAGGCCGTGTACGAAATCGAAAATAGACTCCGTCCGAAAATGTCCTGCTATACAGTAGTTGATTTGCAAGTAGACGATTCATTCCTGTAGGATGAAGAAATGAGGGTGTTTTGTGCTTTCCTTCTGCTGCTGTGTTACTTTTTCAAGTTCCCAAGAAAGATCCTGTGATTGTCAAGACATTCCGGCTGGACTCTGAGCCTGACGCACTAGTGCTATGGAAGGTAAGTGCTGCGTCCCGGACGGATGATCAAACGCTACGTGTGCATTCAGTCCACAGAGCTGCACGACGTGGAGAAGTGGTAGTTGTTGATTATGATCTTCACAACGACTGCATGGTAACAGCGTATGCAGCAGTTGATCAGCATTTATAAGTGAGCATATAACGTTACACGGTCATCATTATGTTGTCTGGGGATCTCCTAGCGTATTACAAGTAGTTGCAACGAATCCTTCAGACGTTCTGTGTTAGAAAGCTCCTTGGCAAGAGAAATGTTCATGCTGCTGTCCATCTTGATCATCATCAGTGTCGAGAACTTGAGATGGTGCTTAGTGAATTTCGCAACAGTTGGTGAAGACTCGTGTGTACTTTCTCTTGTTGTTGTGCTCACGTATACAGCCGTCGCAATGGTGTGACATACTGCCTGATTCCATGTTCCGCTGGACGCACCCCAGCGACAACGGCGGCCAAGCCAGCGAGTACTTCTACCACCGCAACAATTCGATGACGGTGGACACGCACACCCAGCTCTACCGGAGAGGCCGATTGTCAGCTGACGACCAGTACAGCGTTCGGGCCTGGAGCTGTGCTCAGGGCTTGCAACCGGTGTCTGTATCTGAGAACGATACGAACAGCGCAGCAGATGATGATGATGCTGACAGCAGTGACATGGCCAATGCATCACGCTACTCCGTGCTGGAGCCAGAACGGACTTTCACTCGGAAGTGCAGTGGCGGTGTGGTAGTGAACAGTTTCCAAGGTGAGCATCAGACAATAGCACTGAAGCAGTTCAGTGTAAATTGTAAAATAGAACCCTTGATATAGCGTACCACGGGCGGTACTATTTTTGACGACCCTGCATCATGCTATACCAGTCATTTGACCTTGGATGGTCGGTACCTCGGCTATGTCAGAGATTGTGCAATGTGCAAGTCGATATTGTGTGTGTGCGTTGGTGCGTGTGCGTGTGTGTGTGTGTGCGTGCGTGTGTGCATGTATTCCTGCAGTGCCTGCAATACAGTCGGTAACCATTGCTGTGGACAACCGGACTGGCTCCTACAAGATCTACAGTAATTGGACAGTGGATGAAGATCTGCAGGAACACATTGAATATCTGTTCGTCAATCACTCGTGCTCTCATGCTGGCGACGCTATTCCCATTTCACAGTTCACTAAGGTCCCGCTAAAAAGCATGTCCGTGTCGAAGGAGTTCAAGTTTGTTGCAAACGAAACAGTGGAATGCAATGTATCGCTGAGCGCAACGTTCCGTAACTACGGGTCGGCGCCTGCCATGAAGTTATCTCCAGTGCAGCTGGTCACAGCGGGTGGAAATTGTAAGTTCTTGGGAGACTAAGAATGGATTGGATGGGATATAAGGCCATGGCTTTAAAGGTGCTGACATACAGTATTTGTTTTGTTAGGCTGAGGAGAGTACTAACCTAAGTTTTCGTTGGGATGCAATTTTGGTGCACTATCGGTCCCTGGTACGAATTCAGCAATGAAAAGAAGTTCTCGACGGAGGGTCAGAGTTTGACTTTTAATGAAAGCTTTTGCTGAGTGAAGTATGGAGTGCGGTGTGAAGTATGCAGCATGGGTGTGAAGTATGGAGTGCGGTGTGAAGTATGGAGTGCGGTGTGAAGTATGGAGTGCGGTGTGAAGTATGCAGCATGGGTGTGAAGTATGCAGCATGGGTGTGAAGTATGCAGCATGGGTGTGAAGTATGCAGCATGGGTGTGAAGTATGCAGCATGGGTGTGAAGTATGCAGCATGGGTGTGAAGTATGGAGTGCGGTGTGACGTATGGAGTGCGGTGTGAAGTATGGAGTGCGGTGTGAAGTATGGAGTGCGGTGTGAAGTATGCAGCATGGAATGCGGTGTGAAGTATGGAATGCGGTGTGAAGTATGCAGCATGGGTGTGAAGTATGGAGTGCGGTGTGAAGTATGGAGTGCGGTGTGAAGTATGGAGTGCGGTGTGAAGTATGGAGCATGGGTGTGAAGTATGGAGCATGGGTGTGAAGTATGGAGCATGGGTGTGAAGTATGGAGTGCGGGGTGACAACAGTGTCCAAAACTGGTGGGTAGGTGGAGAAGCTGGCCATGTTCTGCTACTTAAAAGAGTTACATTGAAATTTTTTTTAAATTCCTGCCATTTCCTGGTCATGTACACTCTTCCTCTTCCCTGCTTTGTTTGCTTTATTCCTGCAGCCATCTCTGACCTAATATCAAATTCAGGTTCCACTTCCGAAGGACCATCAGCTATAAAGGACAGCAAGATATCTGGTACGTGTCACCATGCACTTTTGCCATACATATGGAAACGTGATTCTTGCCATGTTGGGCATGCTAGTCAGTCATACAGCGTAATGTCCTTAAGGTAGCTTGACGGTCCCTGGCTTGAACCCCGTTGGCATGGCTATCTTGGCTTGGAGCAGGTAGCGTGAGAGTTGAACATGACTGAAGCAGTGAACACCACGCTGATTGTAAGTCTCGCCTTGGCCCGGGAACTGGATTTTCAGCCTACACTGCAAATGTGATAGCGGTGGCTGGCTGCATTCTTGGGCTACATCTCTGACTGAATCCGCCGTGTCGATTGCTTCATTTCTCTGCCTGCAGACACGGTGAGCCTGGAGATCGGAGCAGCGGCACTGTTTGTGGCAATGCTGTTGCTGATACTGGCAGCCATTGTACGTCACCGTCGCCGTCGGAAACACAGTCAATCCCAGCAGTAAGGACGGACCCCTTGTGTGCTACAGTGCTGCTCAATGAAAGCTGACCCAGTGCGTCAAGTTAGCGCCCTGCACCGGTTCACATCTTAGTGCTCGCAGGTCTAGGGCTCCACAGCACCCAGCGTGGCATTGACTCGCCCTGATTGGATTTCACTGAGCAGTACTGTACCTGATATGCCTGCATGTGTAATGGGACTACCCCTTGTGCATGTGTAATGGGACTACCCCTTGTGTACTTGCCTGCATGTGTAAAGGGACTACCCCCTGTGTACTTGCCTGCATGTGTAAAGGGACTACCCCCTGTGTACTTGCCTGCATGTGTAAAGGGACTACCCCCTGTGTACTTGCCTGCATGTGTAAAGGGACTACCCCCTGTGTACTTGCCTGCATGCGTAAAGGGACCACCCCTTGTGTACTTGCGTGTAAAGGGACCACCCCTTGTGTACTTGCCTGCATGTGTAATGGGATTACCCCTTGTGTACTTGCCTGCATGTGTAATGGGACTACCCCTTGTGTACTTGCCTGCATGTGTAATGGGACCACCCCTTGTGTACTTGCCTGCATGTGTAAATGGACCACCCCTTGTGTACTTGCCTGCATGTGTAAATGGACCACCCCTTGTGTACTTGCGCTGCATGTGATACCAGAGTCTGTTGACTTTGGGTATACAGTACTATCTGAGCGGCTGGCTGTAAACTACAGATTTTCACGACCCGTTGGTGAATTGGAGGCACGCTGTAGGTACTAAACTGTTTTACTGTAGTGTGTAGAATGTCCCTTTGATCTCAGCCGCTGCTCTAAGTAGTTGCTTCGCCAAAGCGTCTGTGCATCCTTCAAGTTCAAGTATGCGCATCCCTACCATTGGCCACAGCCTCAAGAAACTCTCAAACGCTTTGTGTGCTTCCTAACATTGCATTCCGTAGGTCTCCCGGCTCCCAGGGCAACACAAGTGACCGGCACATCTACGAGGAAGTGATGCAGTTCTTTCCGACCAACCTGCCAGGCTCCTGGGCCAAGGCAGCAAGCGCACCCCGTCCAGCTATACCCACTCCGACAATACCGCCGGCAGTGGTCGATCCCCTGCAGCCCACGGACCCACGCACGCGCCGAGTAAATGTCTACGTGAACAAGAGAGCGGAGAGGGAGGGCGTGTTCGGTGCGTACGTCGACGACGACACCAACAAGGGAGATGATATCGAGCCGTATGACACCACCAGCTGCGCGCGTGTCCTGCATCAGCTGAAGACCGAGGCAATGTACAAGCGCCTGACGAGCACCACTAGTGATGACGATGGCAGCGAGGAACACAGCCAATGATATTGGTGCCATAGTGACTTGGCACACAGGCCATTACCCGTCGTACAAGTATGTGTACTCTATTCCTTAACAACCATTGTTGGCACAACGAACGATATACAGTGCTGCCATAGGCAACGTGTGCAGTGCAATGTTTCCTAAAGTACGGCTTAGCACACAGCACAGCACAAGGCGGGATAGGCACCCAAGTCTTGTTCGACATTGTACTTGATTGTGAGTATACTCAAATTTGAAATGATATCTTGATCGAAATCTGCTACATGTACAAGTAAAAAACATGAGGTTTCTCTGGCCACATAAAGATTATAATTATGCATCCGATGCGTTGAGACTTGAGACACAACAGCAACTCGCTTGATATGTCGTGAACTATATGACGGCTACTAAAATTAGAGTATCGTGCCTACTGAAAATAGGTTCTATTTTTATACGCTTCACGAAATAATTATAGTAGTAGGAGTATTTTCACAGTACCCAACTATTTTCAATGAGTGGAACAAATATTTTTACCACACACAACAGAGAAGCCCGCCACGTACACCATTATTTTACGTAGCTTGAAGTGTGAAAATTTACATGCCATGATTTGAATATGATTTTTGCAAGTCAAAAGCTTGTTCGGTGCAACATTATTTTTAGAGTGATTTGTAGCTGTGGGGCAGCTGATCTGATCTTATTCGGCTCTCGTGCTGATGGTGTTTATTAGTGGTGAATTGTGGCTAGCTGGGGACTGCTCCTCTGGTGTATCATTTGGAGATGGTGAAAGGCTCGGTGATAACAGCTGTAGCCTCGCGCTGATGGCGTTTGCCCACGCCGACGGCGGGCGTGGCCGACTCTCCCCTTCCACAATACACCAGCTAGTGGAATGGAGAGAAAACAAAGAATGCAGAGACTCATATGGGTTTGGGTGCAAATTCGCGAGTCCACGTTTCGGGCTACCTGGGCCGGTGCAATTCTTACTACTCTCACAAGTGAGTCCCTGCTTCACAAGTTTGCGCAGACAAGTATACGGCGTGAAGAGTCTCTAGCACTGTCACATTAGTCTGCGTGGTACAACACTGACAAGAGAGACGACCACCACGGTGTGTTGGTGCTCTCTGCACACTTGTGATTCTCTCACCTCTTTACATGACCTTTGCCTGGCAAAGTCGCTGTTGTCTCTCTTATCACCCAGCTCCAGTGTCCCATTCTGCCTAGTCGAGGCCCTGCACTGGCCACGCGCCAACTTTGATAAATTGCTGACAGACGTTTTCGCGTCGATTCAATTTTAAAGTCTAGGCGTGAATTGCGGTGCACGGCAGGCCCTGGGGCCTGACCTACACAACGCTGCAGTGTGCTTGCCAGCAGATCAGCATGGCATCTGCCATGCACCGTATCTTGAATTATCTTCTATAGATCTCTGTAGTACAGGTATGGGTGCTGTGGTTTCAGTCAAACTGGACACGGACGCAGCACCCGTGCCTCTAACCAAGGGCCACAACCTTGATAAAACCTGCCCGACTAGTGAATCTCTAGATTAAAATTTTTAATGCGTAGAAAGTACGAATCACGTGTACTTCTAGAAGTACACGTATCCCGCTAGGAAGGCAAGTATAAGTATGGCAGAGTAGCCAGCCCTGTGTTCAGTGTAGAAGTATGGCAGAGTAGCCAGCCCTGTGTTCAGTGTAGAAGTATGGCAGAGTAGCCAGCCCTGTGTTCAGTGTAGAAGTATGGCAGAGTAGCCAGCCCTGTGTTCAGTGTAGAAGCATGGCAGAGTAGCCAGCCCTGTGTTCAGTGTAGAAGTATGGCAGAGTAGCCAGCCCTGTGTTCAGTGTAGAAGCATGGCAGAGTAGCCAGCCCTGTGTTCAGTGTAGAAGTATGGCAGAGTAGCCAGCCCTGTGTTCAGTGTAGAAGTATGGCAGAGTAGCCAGCCCTGTGTTCAGTGTAGAAGTATGGCAGAGTAGCCAGCCCTGTGTTCAGTGTAGAAGTATGGCAGAGTAGCCAGCCGGTGTTCAGTGTAGAAGCATGGCAGAGTAGCCAGCCCTGTGTTCAGTGTAGAAGTATGGCAGAGTAGCCAGCCCTGTGTTCAGTGTAGAAGTATGGCAGAGTAGCCAGCCCTGTGTTCAGTGTAGAAGTATGGCAGAGTAGCCAGCCCTGTGTTCAGTGTAGAAGTATGGCAGAGTAGCCAGCCCTGTGTTCAGTGTAGAAGTATGGCAGAGTAGCCAGCCCTGTGTTCAGTGTAGAAGCATGGCAGAGTAGCCAGCCCTGTGTTCAGTGTAGAAGTATGGCAGAGTAGCCAGCCCTGTGTTCAGTGTAGAAGTATGGCAGAGTAGCCAGCCCTGTGTTCAGTGTAGAAGTATGGCAGAGTAGCCAGCCCTGTGTTCAGTGTAGAAGTATGGCAGAGTAGCCAGCCCTGTGTTCAGTGTAGAAGTATGGCAGAGTAGCCAGCCCTGTGTTCAGTGTAGAAGTATGGCAGAGTAGCCAGCCCTGTGTTCAGTGTAGAAGTATGGCAGAGTAGCCAGCCCTGTGTTCAGTGTAGAAGTATGGCAGAGTAGCCAGCCCTGTGTTCAGTGTAGAAGCATGGCAGAGTAGCCAGCCCTGTGTTCAGTGTAGAAGTATGGCAGAGTAGCCAGCCCTGTGTTCAGTGTAGAAGTATGGCAGAGTAGCCAGCCCTGTGTTCAGTGTAGAAGTATGGCAGAGTAGCCAGCCCTGTGTTCAGTGTAGAAGCATGGCAGAGTAGCCAGCCCTGTGTTCAGTGTAGAAGTATGGCAGAGTAGCCAGCCCTGTGTTCAGTGTAGAAGCATGGCAGAGTAGCCAGCCCTGTGTTCAGTGTAGAAGTATGGCAGAGTAGCCAGCCCTGTGTTCAGTGTAGAAGCATGGCAGAGTAGCCAGCCCTGTGTTCAGTGTAGAAGCATGGCAGAGTAGCCAGCCCTGTGTTCAGTGTCTGTATACTGTACACCTACATGCTACAGAGTCACTGCTGCTCAATGAAATCCAGTCGCGCCACTCACGTGTGCGCCTTACATCATTTCACAGCTCAGTGCTCGCAGGTGTTGGGCTGCGCAACGCCCGGCGCGTAGTACTAGTAGTACTAGTAGTAGTAGTAGTGTTTGTGTTGTGTACTTGAGTAACACGACTGGATTTCATTGAGCACCACTGTACAGTCATATAGCATGAGCTGGCACTGTACTCTGTAGTGTATCAGTCGTTGCCCATGTCTGTACAGGCTGTACCCTGTAGTGTAGCAGTAGTTGTCTGTGCAGGCTGTACAGGCTGTACCCTGTAGACTAGGTGTGCACCTGCTTACCTTGATGTTGAGCTGTGCGGAGAAGCGCGCTGCCACGTGACTCCATGCACCTTGATTGCGACCTTCCTCCTGGCTCCACACAAAAGCTGTACGCGTTGGGATACGTAAATGCATACACGCACGCATGCATACACACACACACGCGCGCACGCACACACACACACACACACAACAAACAAAAGGACAACACATAAATTCCTGCTTTGTTGTAGTGCCCTTCCCAACACTCCAAGTACTACTAGTATCCGTGCTGCTAACACCAGTGCCACTGTGTATGCTGTAAATATCCAACATGGAAGAGCTGACATTTCAATGCCACAGTTGATATGACTAGATCCACAACGAACAGCAAAGGCAACTAAAGCAAGAGCACCATACTCTGAAAATCAAGCCTGCAAGTCACGCCTTATACGTATGCACCGAGGAAAGGCTCCAAAACGATTCACGGTGTCCCGCATCCGTAGAAACGCCACCACCTTGTAGGATCAAAGGCGCAGATGCAGCTCCTAAAGTGCTGGGAGGTGAGTAGATCAGACCCACCACCAAAGTGGTCAAAGGCCGAAAATCCCATTCGCTGCTAGGCTCCAGACTAATGGAACAAATCCAGTTGCCTGCTCTTGTCTGCATGCCTGACTGGGTGTATGCATGAAGGACGGCTGGCACAAAGGTGAAGACCGCACTTATAGTGCGAAGACTACACTGAGTCTGCCCTTGTTATTTGTAGCAGCACATCATAATGCGAGCTGTTCTGATGTACTACAGGCTTACAGATGGTCAGCAGCATGCAATGTGATGGACTAACAGCAAGAGTACAGAACCCCCCAGAGTGTGCAACGCCTGATCCAGCTCTGCATAGGGTCTTGGTCGAGGGGAATCGGATCTTTGCGTCATAATACCGTACACATCTGAGGGGAACCCGGGGAGTCGCGGGTACTCTTGGATCAAAAACAATGGTGCCCTGCCTCGAGACCGGCCTTGCGCTGGTGTGAAGTGTACGCATGACATCAGAAGATCCGATTCCGCTCGACCAAGACCCTACACAGAGCTGGATCGGCGTTGCACACTCTGGGGGGGGGTTATGTACTCTTGCTAACAGTACACAGGTGATGGACTAACAGTATACAGGTGATGGACTAACAACACAAAGGTGATAATCAAAGGCACTCACTTTTCGCCTTGGAAAACTGTGCCACCGCTTCAGCGACAGCGTGGACTGGGAATGGGGCTAGTAACTGAAA